GCTGAGGAGGATGGGGAGAATGCGCAGGGTATGGCGAAAATGAAGAAAAGAAGCATGGAGGAAGGATGACGAATCACAATATTATAGCGGCGATGCCAGAAAAAAAGGCAACAAGGAGTTATCACTAAATTGTCGGTTTGACCTTCCTGCTATTCCGCCTGCGTACCACACTTCCAGGACCAAGGTGCATGGCGCGAAGCGCCACTGCAATCTTGTATATATATATATATGTACATGTATGTATATGTGTACATGTAAATGTCATATATACGGATACATATCAGTTGATCCCCGCTTGCTGTCATCCCTCCCCTTTCTTCCCCCCCTGGGGTCTAAAATCCCTGGGAACACCCCCCCCAACAAGGTGGCCCCAAGAACCCCCAACATGCTCCTGAAAGGCCGCCACAAAGTTCCCAGACCAGCCACCAAGAAGGCTTTCAAAAATCCCCTGGAGCCCTGAACTCAGTCCAAGAGGTCCCCAAGAAGCCCTTCTATACAAGTGGAGGAAGAGGAGGACAAATCGGCAACGACTACGCGCAAACAACACGACAGGAAACGTCGAACAACACGCACGACGCCAGAAGCCGCACAAATCCTCTTCTGGGGGCCAGCGGCATGGCGTAAACCTCTTGAGTATGTAATGACATCCGGCCCATCCCGCCTCCGTGCTTGGGTCATGAAACAGAAGGGTCTCATGGGTGACAACGGGGGGGTCAGTGAATCAGCTCACGTAGATGGCCCCGGCGCCAGGAGGCGCCAAAGCATCGGGAAAAGCGCCCGGCGACCAGACCGAAATCAAGCGCATGCAGATCTCATAACCCCTCTTTCTGCTATTCCCCCCATGTCGTCCGACCTGAAAGGGGGGGGGAGGAGGGAGACACAGGAGGGCATGGAGGAATTCGAAGGGAAGAGACGGAGGAGTGAATTCGGAGGGAGGGAGGGGATGGAGGGAGTGAGGAAGGAGGGCACAGAAGGGGAGGGGGGGCAGAGGGGGAAGAGGCACAGGAGCGAATGGGGAGGGCGGAGGGGAACGGTGGCTTTTTTTGATCTCGACGGATCTCTCCCCTACCTCCTGGTGCACCTCCACGACCGCCATGAAGAAGACCGCCGCGACGACTGCGAGGAGCCCGAGGACCATCGAGAACAGCACGGGGGTACGTGCTGCCACGGAATGGATACGCACTCGACTGCCCTGCTAGATACCGTCCCAGCCCACATCGAAGCTGTCGAGCGGGTCGCCGTCGTCGGCGTCGTCGGAGAGCACCGAGGGGCTCCGCGCGCAAAGACGACCAGCCGCTGACAACAGTTGAGGAGGGTCCCGCACAGCAGGGTCAGGAGGTGCGAAACCGTCGACATGACCTCCGAAGAGAAACCATTCACCAGGGTCGTGGGGCACGTCAGCTGGCGCCCACGCTGCACAAAAGGGAGAGGCAGGCTGGGCAGCAGGGCCGCCCTTCTCCACGGACTTTCCCTTGGCGGCAGAATCCTTGGCCCCAAGCCGTGCTCCTCGATCGAGGCCGCCGGCCGCGCCGGGCGCTGGACGAACGGCTGGGCGACACGGCCAGGGCGCTCCCGCGCCAACAGTTGTCGCTGCTCCCCGATCTCCATCATGTACTTGCTCGTCGGCGAGAGCACCGCAGAATCCGCACCGACGATGTTGGGTTCAAGCTTAGATTCCCGCACCTCGCTCCTTACGCACGTGCTGATCCCGACGTTGTGGATGATGACGTTGGGGTCTAGCAGCGCCTCCCACTTCTCGCATGACGGCGGCACGGCCGCGCGGCAGGACGAAAAGACACTAGCGCCGCACGTGCACCTGGCGCCTGCGGCGTCCATCCTCGCCCAGCTGCCCGCACTAGGAACGAGGGCAGGCGCTTCCGAGCGAAATTGAAAACCTCCACGGCCGTCAAGCCCAGGAACAGCATGAACGGCCAGAACATCAGCTCCAGGGTTCCCGAAGCTCGGCTCCACGACAGTTGGCAGTTGATCCTGAGGCTCCAGCTGCCGATCCACGAGCGCACGAGGAGGTGCCAGGCGCGCGGACTTCTGAAGGATCTTCAGTTCCTTGCAGCGGGCCTCGGGGCCTGGCTCCTCCGCCGAATGCTCGGCGACGTTGCGGAGAAGGATGTCGGCGTCGGTCAGAGGAGCCTCCAGTACTCCATCTCGGGCTTGCAGCTGTGCCAGAAGGACTGGTTCGATGCTCCTCCACCGTGGGCAAAGCTCGCCTCCTCGCGGGTCACCAGACTCCCCGCCGAATAGCACACTGTGCAACATGTCGTTCTCGCGAACTTGCACCGCGAGCCGCTCCTTGAGGTCACGTAACTTGTCATGGGCCGCCGCCTGCCCAGCGTCTGCCGCCGCCAACGCCCGCTGTCGGGCCGCCGTGCGGGCGGCACGTGACCTCCGATACCACCCGGAATCACCGTCAGGCGACTCCGCCCGCACCATCTCAAGCTCTCCAGTCCCCTGCAGCGCCACACTCCGGGCCCGCCATGCGCGGGGGAAAATGGCGACCAGGGGGCTAGAGACTGGCTTGAGCCAAAATGGCTACGGAGAGGGGAACGGTGGGGGCGTGGCAGGGAGCCAAGCGGGAATGCGAGGAGGCGGAGGAAGAAGAGCACGGCAGAGCGTCGTCGGGTCGAGAACACGACTCCTGTTCGGCAAGAGGTTCTGAGGGAAACCAGACATGATGCAGGACGGGAAATGTACGTGGACGGTGTAGAAACACCGGAAGCGTAAACTGAGAGCCAGCGCTGGTCGAGAACACGACTCATTTCGATACCAGGTTCTGAGGGAAACCAGGCATGACGCAAGACGACACATGTAAAGGGACGGTTCGGAAAGAGCGAAGCGTAAAATGATAGCCAACGCTGTCGCGGAAGCACGATTTAGGAGATCCGCAACAAAGAAATGAGGTCAGCGCTGCAGCGGGAGTATGATCTGAAAGGGCCGAGAGCCAGATCATGGAGCCACCGCTGTAGCAGGAACGCCATTCTGGAAACACCGAGGACGTTCGGAAAGGAAAAAAACAGATCATCGACCGCCATTGGGGGATCCTATGTGTTAACAACAATACGCTGAGGGAGGCAGGCTACAACCTCGGGGTCTTCGGGAGACAGAGAGGAGAGTCGTATTCATGTAGTTTTTTGGTTGTTGAGGAGGAGGAGGAGGAAGAGGAGGGAGGACCAATGTAAACCTAAGACGCATCAGCGATGTTGGAATACACCCTCCCTCCAAGCTCCTTCGTCATAAGCCCAATACAAAAGGTTCATTTCCACTGAGGGACTTGCCCCTTTGGGGGACAAACGTGTAAAAATCCTGAAGCGTGCCAGGGCACCACTCTCAAAATTCAACGCCACGCGCCACGCCCTGAACCTGAGTGTTGTGCCCTGGCGATCCGGAATCGTGTCAGAATACCACTCCTGCGACTTCAACCCCGCGAAGCAACGTAACTGTTGCGCCCTGGAAATGTCACACAACATCACTTCTAGTACTTTAACCAGGAGAACCAATGAAACTCTTGCAGTTCTTGTAAAAGGAATGTACGCGGCGCATGGGCGAGAGCCACATTTTGAAAGGGAGCCGCCCTTCATCCTTGAAACTCTTGCAACATTTGACAGCGAATGTGCGCGGCACTTGGGCGAGAACCACATTTCGAAAATCACCCGCCCTCAATCCGTGACGCTCTTGCACGTTTCTCAAGCGAATGTGCGCAGCGCGAAGACGCAAACCACATCTTGAGAACCACCCGACCTCTATCCGTGAAATTCTTCCAATGTTCTTGAAGGAATGTGCGCGGCGTTGAAGCGAAAACCACATGTTGAAACCACCCGCCCTCAATCCGCGAAACTCTTGGAAGTGCTCGAACAAGGAATGCGCGCGGCGCCAAGGCGAGAGCCGCATGTTGAAAACCACGCGCCCTCAATCCTTGAAACTCTTGAATATTTCTAGATCGAATGCGCGCGGCGCTGAAACGAGGATCGCATACAAAAACACCCGCCCTCAATCCGTGAAACTTTCACAATTTTCTAAAGCGAAGGTGCGCAACACTAAAACAAATGCCACATGTTGAAAACCACCCGCCTTCAAGCCTCGAAGCTCTTGAGAAGTTTGACAGCGAATGCGCGCGCCGCCAAGGCGAGAGGTACATTCTGAAACCAACGGCTCTCAATACTTGAACCCCTTCCAAATTTCTAAACGAATGTGCGCCGCGTGAAAGCGGAAACACACAGTTTGAAAACCACCCGCCCTTCACTCCGTGAAGTTTCTGCAAGCTTCTAGAACGAATGTGCGCGGCATTAGAATGATAGCCACATTTGAACGCCACCCGTCCACAATCCGTGACGCTCTTGCACATGTTTAATACGAGCGTGCGCGGAAGCACAGCGCGAACCACATTTTGAAAACCGCCCGCCCTCCATCTGTGAAGCTGTTGCCAGTTTTAGGTTCAGAAATGTAAAGGACGTCTCAAACGAAACGTCTTGCCCGCCCTTCTGTCTGGCCTCGGGGTGCGACAGGGAAGTGTTTATTCATGAGGAAAAGGAATGGAGGAGGAGGGGGAGGAGGAGGACGAGGAGGAGGAGGAGGAGGAGGAGGAGGAGAAGGAGAATAAGAACATGATAATGGAGGAGGAAGAGGAGAAGAGATGGAGGATGGAGGGAGGGTGGAGGATGAGCAGGGGGAGGGGAAGTGAGGAAATTTGATGGATAATGATACTGAGGATGGTAATGCTGCTGCTGACTGATGAAGATGACGGTGATGAGGAGAAACATACTGAGGATGAGAACGATCAGGATAAGGGGAGGAGGGCGATAATGCGAGGAAGGGTAAGGAGAGAGGAAATCGATGACGAGGAGGGCGAGGAGAACGATGGCGAGGAGGAGGAGGAGGAGGAGGCAGCCCAAGGCGGAGCGCTCGGGTGGCTGGCAAGCCGGGACTGGGCCCCCGGCAGGCGCTCGACCTGTGGAGCTTCTGGAGGTCTGGGCGGAACAGCAGCGTGCCTAGCCTGGTGCCGGGCTGAGGGGAGGCGCCCTCAAGGGAGTGGCTCGAAGGGGGTGGGCCTCAAAGACGGCGGCGTGGCTTCGAGAAGGCAGAGGGGGCGCTTCTCAGAAGACCGCCGGGCTTGCAAGAAGCCTTCTCCGAAGCCTCTGGGGCGCTTCGAGGATGACCCGTGCCTCCCGAGAAGCCTTTTTGCCTTCTTAGAAGGCCGCCTCCCTCGCGCACCCCCCCCCCGTGTGGGCGCCGCCATGTGCGCCATCCCCTTGCGTGCCTGCCGTCGCACAGGAGCGCTCATGCAGGAGCGCGGACCGTCCCTGGCACCAAGAACGGACGCAGAGCCTCCCTCCCCACGCATCCAGAGACACCCCGACGCCGCGAATCAGAAGCCATCACGGGCGTTTCTTCCCTGACCCAGGCCCCAGGGACCTCACCAGGGGAACGAACAATGACATACACATAAAACTCAGAGGTCCGCGCGGCCTTCTCGGATCGGCGCTGCAATTGATTTTCATTGAATTCATTCCATTCAAGATTGATCCACTCACGGATCCACTGCAATTGATTTTCATTGAATTCATTCCATGCGTAGCATGCTCTCCCCTAATGGACCGCGAACGGGACCCAGTCCCCTGCCGGTCGTCTAGTGCCGCCATCGTAGGCAACCAGAGGGGCCATCATAGGCACCTCGCACCCAATTCGGGGCCATCAGCAAGGCTCGTTTTGGGAAGAAGGACCATCATAGGCCTTCGCGCTCAATTTGTTCATTGAACTCAACTTTCTCGTCGTCGTCGTCCTCCTCCTCCTTCTCCTCCTCCTGGTCTCCACCCCATCGGAGCCGCGATACAGGCAGTGCGGGCAGCACCTCGACCTCATGGAGGATGAGCACGACGAACGTTGTTGGTGGACGTCCGCCCTTGCCCTCTCCCCCCCCGGTGAGGACCATCATAGGCCTTACCAGTGAGGACCACCATGAGGCCTCACACCCCTTCGCAGTTTCCATCATTGGAACTGCGGGGGTCGAACCAAATCCCCACAAACCTGGCACCGTACGTGCAGTGCCAGGGGCGGCGGCCCGTCTTCCCATCCTACCATCATAGGGGGATGCGAAGTCCCTGAAGACGGGACGGGGTGGGCACGAGCGGGCATCATAGCCGGCTCAAAATCAAAAGAGGCATCATAGCCTCATCAATCAAGATTGATCCACTCACGGATCCACTGCAATTGATTTTCATTGAATTCATTCCATGCGTAGCATGCTCTCCCCTAATGGACCGTGAACGGGACCCAGTCCCCTGCCGGTCGTCTAGTGCCGCCATCATAGGCAACCAGAGGGGCCATCATAGGCACCTCGCACCCAATTCGGGGCCATCAGCAAGGCTCGTTTTGGGAAGAAGGACCATCATAGGCCTTCGCGCTCAATTTGTTCATTGAACTCAACTTTCTCGTCGTCGTCGTCCTCCTCCTCCTTCTCCTCCTCCTGGTCTCCACCCCATCGGAGCCGCGATACAGGCAGTGCGGGCAGCACCTCGACCTCATGGAGGATGAGCACGACGAACGTTGTTGGTGGACGTCCGCCCTTGCCCTCTCCCCCCCCGGTGAGGACCATCATAGGCCTTACCAGTGAGGACCACCATGAGGCCTCACACCCCTCGCAGTTTCCATCATTGGAACTGCGGGGGTCGAACCAAATCCCCACAAACCTGGCACCGTACGTGCAGTGCCAGGGGCGGCGGCCCGTCTTCCCATCCTACCATCATAGGGGGATGCGAAGTCCCTGAAGACGGGACGGGGTGGGCACGAGCGGGCATCATAGCCGGCTCAAAATCAAAAGAGGCATCATAGCCTCATCAATCAAGATTGATCCACTCACGGATCCACTGCAATTGATTTTCATTGAATTCATTCCATGCGTAGCATGCTCTCCCCCTCCCTGGCGCGCGGAGCGCGCCAGGGGCGGCGCTGGATCTTTATGCTTATGTCATTGTTCGTTCCCCTGTTCCCCTGACCCGGGTCCCAGGGACCTCACGAAACGATCGGGCCCGAGGGTTGCCGCAGGAGCGCGAAGTCGGTAGTTCCGTTCGCGCCTCCTGCGCACGGCGCGTTGCGCGCGCTGCAGGGCGCTGCATGGCGCCGCATTTTTCCACGGCGGGGGTCCCTGCAGTGGGCACACCCCCACGGTGGGCGCTCGAAGACAGGCCTGCCACTGGGTGCCCCACGATATTTTCCTACACCTCGGTGGGCCCCCCTCCTCCCCCTCCTCCCCCTCCTCCTCCTCCTGCTCCTCCTCCTCCTCCTCCTCCTTCTCCTCCTCCTCCTCGTCCTCCTCCTCCTCCTGCGGCACCCTACGAAGCTCAGGGTCGACGACGGATGTGCCCCTAGAGACTTCCTGCAACAAGATTCCTTCTGTATCCTGGCTTTGCCCCGATCCTGGGCGCGGAGCCGGCAGCCGCTGGCAGGCCCCTCGCCATCGCTCTCGGACGTCCATTCCCCGTGCATTTTCCGATTTCGCGAGTGTATTTTTCGCACGAGGACCCTAGATGCTCCTCGACGGTCCTCGCCGAGGAAACAGTGCACAAATCCGAGCGATGCCAAGGCCCAGGATAGCGTGCGCACGCCGACATAGGGCCGTGGGCTGGCCTGGTCCAGCGCCGGTGGGCGGCAGCTGCAGCCAAGATCTTCCGCACACAGCGTGCCGCGGTGGCGGTCCCGGCGACGCGCTGTGCCCTGCAAGCGGACAGCGTCTCGCTCTGCTCCGCGAAGCGAGAGGCTCGGGAAAGCTCGGGACTCTGACGCGTAACAGCAAGGAAACGGGTAGCGTGTCGCGCCGCAGCGCGGTGGGTCAGAACTGGCGCTCTCCAACAGATCCCGACCGTAAAATCGGCCAGGCGAACCTCGGCCAGGCTGAACTCGGCCAGGCGAACTCGGCCAGGCTGAACTCGACCAGCTGACCTCGGGCAGGCTGAACCTGGCCAAGCTGAGTTCGGCCCCGGCCGAGGTTCGCCTGGCCGAGTCTTTCCCTCGTGCGGTGTGGGCGGGGGCAATTTGGCGCACCCGGGCCAGCCTCCAGCACAGCCCGTCCAGCAGCAGGACGAGGGCCTCTCGAGGAGGGGAAGGGGGGGGGCTGGGTGGCGGGGGGCAAGAAGCAGGAGAAGGACAGGGAGCAGGATGGGGGGACATCTTCGGTTGTTGCTATCATTTCCGTGAGTGGTCGTTACCTGGGGGGCGGGAAGGAAAAGGCCCTGGGTAATGGTAGCGCTTGGGCGGGGTGGGGCGCATGCGCAAAGCCTGCGGGCACCGGCAGGGCGCCTGCGAGCCCCGGCAGGGCGCCTGCGAGCACCAACATCCCCCCAAACCACGTACGATCGTTGTTTCCTATTCACCCCGGGGGGGGGGGGCAGGTAACGGCCAATACGCGCCAGAACATCAAACAGTCCAGGTCGGCGAGTGGGAGGAAGGGTCGGCTACGCGCAAGAGTGGCCCCAGGCAGGAATGTCCCTGGGTGTGCGGCCTTCGGTGGGCTCAGGAGGGCCAGACCGGAGCGTGCAAGTCGCTGCTGCCGCAGCGCATTACGCCATCTGGGACACTAGTTTGCCCGCACCGAGAAGACACCCCAATGAAAGGTCACTCTTGCGCGCGCGTAGCCGAAACGGGTGGGGGGGGCAGGGAGACGGTGCACGAGAGGCAAGGTGCGCGAGGGAGAGGACGATCGGGATGAACGGTGACGGAAGTCGATTGGCTCGAATTACACGTCGGCCGGAAGAAATAAATAAAAACATGAAGTAGGAAGGCGGATCAAGCCCCCCCAGAGAAAAACAATACACAGCAAAGGCATATCGATTCTTGAAGCAGGAAGGCGCTTGAAGTACATTGGGAACTGGAATCCGAAAATACCTACTTTCAACGACTGGCGTGTACTTGTGCAGATCAGCTGCGCCTGCCACCTGCACCGCCTTTGGCGGTCTGCTCGGGGGTGGTCCTCCGCCTCGAGCGATCCGAGCGAGACTCGGCTTCCCCTTGGCTGCGCGAGAGACAGGAAGAGGGGAGGACTGCGGAGGCGGTGGCCCCGCGGCGGCGGCCCAGCGGTGCGAGGCCATGCTCTGCAAGACTTCGGGGCCCGCCACCCATGCGCCCCTCCTTCCGAGGCCTCGGGGTGAGGGCGCGCCCTTCTCGGGCCGCCGCGCCTGCGCAGGCGCCCCCCCCGCCCCCAGGGCGCACAAGTCGGGGAGGTCGCGCTCTCGAAGGCCCAGAAGCTCTGGCGCCCCTTTCTCGGTGGACAGTCTTGCACGCCCGAACCGGGGAAAGGGAAGTATCGGCTACGGTGCCCAACAACAGGTGTTGTCCAACACCAGCAGCGGCCGCTGTTGGGCATGGACGCCGTTGCTATCTCGCGTGGACAACGTCCTCGGCGACGCCGACAACGAGTCCTGCTCAAACTGGGCATGAACTGCCGTCTAGCCTCGTTGACATTGTTTTTCTGTTCGTCCCCTCTCGGTCGTACCGAAAAGTGGCGGAAGACCCGCAGAAACAAAACGAGGGCGGGCCCGCCAGCGGAAATTAACAATGCGCTACATCGAGACATTAGCCCGCTCTCCTTCTATTTCCCAACTCCCCTTCTATTTCCCAACCCTCCTGTGTGTTGGGTCTTCGTTTTGAATTTGCAGCGCCGCGCCCCACCTCCTCCTCCTCCTCCTCCTCCTCCTCCTCCTCCTTCTCCTCTCCTCACCTCCTCCCTCCTCTCCTCTTCCTCACCCACACGTTTCGTAGCCCCGGAGCTCTACCGAAGGCCCGAGTGGCAGGGCTCGCATGCGTACTCGGGTCCAGTTCAACACACGCACGCACACGCACGCACGCGCACGCGCACGCGCACGCGCACGCGCACGCGCACACGCACACGCACACGCACGCGCACACGCACGCGCACACGCACACACACGCACACACACACACCACACACACACACACGCACGCACGCACGCACGCACACACAACCACACACACGCGAACACACCCACGCACACACACACGCACACACACACACTCACACGCACACACACACAACACACAACACACACCACACAATACACAACACACAACACGCAACACACACACACCACGCACACACACACACACACACACACGCACGCACGCACGCACGCGCACGCACGCGCGCGCGCACGCACGCACGCACGCACGCACGCATGCACGTACGCATGCACGCACACACCCACACGCACACACACATACACACACACACACCCACACACTGCACCACGCACGCACGCACGCACACACACACACACACACACACACACAAGCGCACGCACGCATGCACGCACGAACGCACGCACATACACACACTCGCACGCACGCACGCACGCACGCACGCGCGCGCACGCACGCACGCACGCACGCACGCACGCAGGCACGCACACACACGCCCCCCCCCGCACACACACAACACACACAACACACACACATACACACTCACACACACTCACACACACAAACACACAACGCACAACACACAACACACAACACACAACACACACAACACACACACCCACACGCCCACACACACACACACTCATGCACGCACGCACGCACGCACGCACACACACAAACACACACACAAGCACACACAAACACACACACACACACACTCACGCACACACGCACACACACACAAGCACACACATTCACACACATTCACACACATAATACACACAGCACACAACACACAACACACAACACACAACACACACACACACACAACAACATGACACACACAACACACAACACACAACACACACCACACACACACACCACACACAACATACACAACACACAGAACACACAACACACAGACCACACACACATTACACACACGCACGCACGCACGCACGCACACACACACACACACGCACACACACGCACCCGCAGCTATTGTGGCTTAATCCATTCTGGCTCAAGGGCCAAAATGGACACCCCAGAACTGCCTATGCGGGGTAGGCTCCCAAGTTCACGTCCCTTCGGGGTGACAATGCCAGGCTGGCTCCATCCATATCCTGCAGGCGCGGGCTGCGATGTCAGGTCGGCGAGGCCAAGGTTCTGCTCGAGCAGCGCAGGGCCGATATCAAAGCCAGGCACAAGCAGCTCAAGGCCAGAGGCAAGCGCAGGCGGGTCGCCGAGGACCGGCCAGCCGACGGCACCGAGGCAGGCACCGCCAGCACTCCAAGGGGCGAGCAGCAGCCGCCGACCCCAGGAGCCACTCCTGCAGCGGCCGCTCCTGAGCCAGTGGGGGCCTCTTCGCCCAAAGGGGCTCCTCGGCCTCCTGCTGCTCCTGGTCCTGGTTCGCCGGGCTTCCTCTGAGGCCCCGAGGGCGCGGCCAGATTGGCAGCTCTCCGAGAAGAAGCAGCTGCAGCCGTGGCCAAGCCAGCAGGCGGAGGGCCTAGCCTTTGACGGTACCCAGCCGTGGGAGGAGCCCCCCCCGCACGTGCAAGCCCAGACCGCCACGGGCGGTTCGCCTGGGTAAGCGAGAGAGGGGCGCCCTGGCCACCGGGCGCAAGTGCTTGGCAAAGAGATGGGCGCCCAACGTGAGACGAGGCCCACCGCGCACCGACGAGGGGCATTGGCGGAGTTTCTGCATCCCCTACGTCTTCTTCCACCTCGGGTCTTCGGAGTTTGGGGCGTGGCTGGGCGAGCAGCGGGCCCGCGCGGGCAGCCCCTCCCGCATCGCCGAGCGCATGCGCGTGGCCCGCAAGGTGTTGGCGCTTGGGCCAGAGGCACTGAAGCCAGGCGGGCACTCCATCGGTGGCTTGAGAACCTCCGAACGGCTTCGACGACGGCCTACGAGAAGGAAGTCACCAGGCACCGGTAGATCCAAGCAGCGGTAGCAAGGTGGCTAGAGCGGCAGGCGTGTCCCGTGCAGCCAGCTTGGCAGGCCCTTTTCACAAGGTCATGGCGCATCGCTTGGTGGAGCTCTGGAAGCAACGCCAAATCGACGCGATGGCCAACGGCGCTGTTTACTTGGAGGACTCGGCCATTCCTGCCATCAGACGGCCGCAGACACGTGCCTCGCGAGGAGGTTAGCTACCACCAGGAGGGCAACTCCTATCGGGGGGCCCGCGGCCGCATCGAGCTCAACTCTCGCCTGCAGATCAGGCGCGCCCTGTGGGGCGTTTTCCGTGCGGGCATCTAGCGCCGCCTGTGCTACGGGCGCCAGCAGTGGAACGGGCTCTGGGCGGGGCTCGCGTACTACCTGGGGGCCTACCTCCACCAGACGATCGATTTCCACTTGAACTTCGGGCACCACCATTGGGTCGACTCCGAGCCGACGATCGAGTACCACCAGGGGGCCGAGCACCACCAGGCGAACCCGTACCACTCGGGGGCCTTCCACCGCCAGTGGTTCAGGCACCACCAGAAGACCAGCCCCCACCCGCACAGCTAGTACCATCAGGAAGCCGAGGGCAAGCAACTCGTCCAGCGGCCCTGCGTGCGGCCGAAGCCCCGGCCACCTGCAGAGAGGCATGGGGCCGCTGTCGTCGAGCCCGCCTCAAGTGGTGGAACAGCCTGGGGCAGGGGGGCGGAGTCGGCCTCGTCCAGCATGCAGCGAAGCGGGCCCGCTTTGAGGAGGGCCCCGAGCCAGGCCAGCCTACTTTCAGCAGATGCGCAGACCCGCTGTGCGTCGACCCTGGTAAGCCGCAAGGGGGGTACCGCGGCCTCCTCTTGGCGGACCACGCCTTCCAACATATGCTCCAGGACTGCGCGGACCGCGTGGCAGATGCCCACGTTTGGGGTTGGGAACTCGCTCGTGGCAGTTTCACCCGTTTGTGCGTGCCAGCGGTCATCCAGGAGCTCCTCACCTACCCCGTCTACGACCCTTCATGGAACCGCACCGCGCGGTCCGAGGCGGCCAGCCACGACAGGCTCCAGGCCGTGGCCGTCGACTTCTGCCAGGACGTCTGGAAGCTGCGCGGGCCACTCCGATCGGCGTGGCAGGGCCGACAGGGGGGCCGAGCTTGGTTGGCTGCCGTAGACCGCCAGCTCGCTAGCCTCCACGAGGCCAAGCTCAGGCTGTGGTCACGAGGGGACCA